CCAGAATGTAAGACCAAAGGCCTTACACCAAATGCTCCAAGGAGCTGGAGTGGAGCACACCCAGGGATCCCAGCGGTGCCTCCAGAATGTAAGACCAAAGGCCTTACCAAATGCTCCAAGGAGCTGACTGCAGCGAAGAACACATGGGAAGGAACACACCGGACAAGTTGGAAAGTAAAACAGACCTTAGTCTGGCCAGACGGCACTCCCAAAGCAAAGTAGCTTAGAGAGGCGTCAGTCCAGAGGCCGAGGCTCTTTTTATAGGGGCTTGCAGGGAAGTTAACAGGCAAAATTTACAGAAGAAGGAACAAAGGTTAGTGGTCTTACATTTGTATGTTAATTAGCCTGACAAGTACTGATAGTCAGCAGATGCTTTGTAGATTGTTCTATAGATAGTGGTGTCCGGAACAAAGAGTTGGATAATTATAGCTGATATGGATCTTATCTAGTATCCTGGAACTAAGAAGCATCTTTATCTATTTACTCACATTCAATTACAGTTGGGGCTAGGGTAGTTGTATGATTACAGAGTTATGCAGTCCCACTCTTCAGCATCCTTTCCCAGCCCCGCCCACCCGTCCACAGTCCACAGACTCTCATTGGCCCCATTTAGGGGGACACCAGGTTATTATAGCAGCCAGCCACATTGGGATAAACAAGATGTAACAAAAGACTGGAGGGCAGTGGAACTAAGAACAATGAGGAACTATGCAGATGAAGATTTGGTTCCTCCCAGGGTATCTCCCGAAGGTGTGGTCTTGCCCTGGAGCATCACAGCATCACGGATTACTGAGGTCTCAGTTGTGACTGGAGGCCAAATGGAATTATGTCTTGGAATGCCATAGCTGGCCTGTAGGCAGAAGAACTAGGCCTATTCAAATGATTTTTCCCTAAAATTATGTAGCATTGCTCCCAACAAATTAAGATACCCTAACTGGTGGGATGTTGTTCTGGCTCTAAGAATGTTACAGAAGAGCTTTAGGAGCTGATTTCCTGAATTACTTTATTTTGGGTACATCAAAAATCATTGTAAAAAATTTAATTATGGTCTTTAATAACATGGAACAGGAAAATGGGAAGAACAGTTATACTACCTGACTGAATCAAGATAGGAAAACATCTGATAGGCAGGAGCCCATTGACAAACACAACACAGTGGAATTTAATAAGAATGGGTAAAGGTTGAACACAGATGGGCACATCTACCTTCGCGGTACCCATGAGAACCAGTAAGGACTCACCAGTACCACGACGTGACCACCAAAACTGCTGGCATGGTTTTAGGCTGCATTATTTCCTATATCTTCTCTTTGCTCCTCAGGTCCTACCATTAGCTCAGTGCCGGGGTCCAGACCTGAAAGGGATCCAGAGAGACTGACACTCGGAGTAAGTGAGCAGGCAGACAGTTTGAAACTGCAGCCAGAGGACTGCTAATGCTCCGGTGATGACAGTGCCCACGGTAGTCAGCAGTCACACAGTATGTCATTTTGTCCTCACAGCAGTCTTACATTGGGGGCCATCATTCACCACCCTTCATAAACGGATGAGGGAAGCAAAGCTTAGGTTCAAAGCCTTCCCACAGTCACACAGTCATAAGTGGTAGAACCATGGGAGGAAAAGCACAGGACACAACTTGAAGTGATGAGTGCAGCATCTTTAAAGATGAGAAAGGCTTTCAGGAGGAATGAGGATAAAAATTTGTTTGTTGCGGCTCCAGTTAGTACCCAGACCAGTGAGTAGATGTGACAGGGAAACAGATTTTGGGGTCTCTAAAAGCCCATCTGTTGTTCTTCCTCTTCTTCAGTGAAGGAGGGATTTTCTTTTCCTGATGCCCCTCATTCCTACTCCCTCTTCCTGTGGGAACCTAGTTGCACGGCTCCACAGAAATCCACGAAGCTCAGCTGGCCAGACTGGATGTTCTTCCCAGTCCTCGGTCACTGTTCCCCGGGCTGTTTGAGGTCATGTTTTGTTTCTCCACCTCTTTTGAACTCCTTTGCCCCTTGGTGCCCTTTACTTATGACTGTCTGGTGAGGCCTGGCCCCAGGGTCTGGTCTCTGAGCTGCTCTTCTGGTGACTCTGTTCCCCATATGCCACTGTGATCTTCAGCAGAGCCCTTTTCCTGATTTTCACATCTCCTTTCCAGATGCTCCATTTGGCATCAGAGACTCAACAAGGCAAGACTCAGACTTGCTTGAGCCCTCAAACTGTTCTGCCCCCTAAGCCTCCCATGTGTGAGGGCAGCCTGGCTGTCCTGTTCCTCCAGTCTGTATTTTGTTTTTCTTGGTATAGGGAATTGAACCCAGGGCCTTCACACTGAGCTACATCCCTATCCCTTTATTGATTTTTTTATTTTGAGGCACATTCTCATTAAGTCACTAAGTTTCCAGGCTGAGCTTGAACTTGTGATCCTCAGCCCCTTGGAGTTCTGGGGTTACAGGCATGCACCACTATGCACAGCTATATTCTGTTCTTCAAGTGCCTGAAATCAACTACCACATCCTCTCAACTTTTCATTTGTGAGCTCACCCTCCAAATATTTGTCCTTGTTATCTCTCTCTCTCTCTCTCTCTCTCTCTCTCTCTCTCTGAAACAGGGTCTCACTGTCTAGTTCAGGCTGGCCTTGAATTGACTAGGTACCCCAGTCTGGCCTCAAATTTGTGTCGATCCTCCTGCCTCAGCCTCCAGAGTGCTGGGATTACAGGCGTGTGCCACCACACCCAGCTCTTCATGTCTCTTTAATACTCTAGTCATTGCATACATCCAAATCCTGTCTGTCCTTTTCTAAGAACCTATGGCAATTCCTCCTGCCCATCAATTTGGGTTCATTACTCAGCCCAGGCAGCTGTTCTCAATTTCTTCCCAGCAGAACCGTTTGTGCCTATCTTGCTAGCTCTGTGCGAGTGTTCACTGCCCTGACTTTCAGACTTCTTGTGTCCCTCTTTACCTGATTCACTCTCACTACTCTCTTTTCTAACAGTGGTGCTGTCATTTGCTCCTTCATCTGTTATTCTCTTGAAGCCCATTTTTCAGTCTACTCCTCCCACTCACTAATCACTTTTTCTTCAGCACCCTCTAGTTTTGTAGCCTACTGAATTTTACCTCCTAGCCCTTTCTTAGAGACTCTGTTGGGCTTTTCCATGTTAAAAAAAAAAAAGTTCCTCAGTTCCACCAAGTAGACTTTGAAATTCATCAGGGCAATACCTTATCTGTTCACATCCAGCACTGGACTGCTCAGACTCAAAAGGAAGAGAAAATAACATTGACAATTCAAGTTCTTCTAGTGTGCCAGTCACTCTAATTAGCACAGTATAACCAATACCCTTGTTTTAAGATGAAAAAACCAAAACCCAGTGACTTTCCCAAGGTCACAAAACTGATAAAATTTGAATCCAGGACTTGAGTCCAGGCAGGTGGGTCCAGAGTCTACATGCTGGGAGCATAGAGAGCGGTGGTTAATCCCAATCCTGTACCCTTCTGAGAACCAATAGGACATGACACTGCCCAGTGTTTGCATGTAATAATGACTGTAAGGATGGCATTGACAGAGGCAACCTCATCGCTGACCATGACCTCAGGGAGAGTGGACCAGAGACTTTGGAAAGCCATTGGTTAAAAATTCCCTTGTTTTATTTCAATAGTTGTTTAGGACAGATGTTATTAAAAGAAAGGACTTGCTTCTGTTTTCAGATGCCCTTGTTCTTTGTAGAAGTGGTAAATATGGAAACTTTTGCTTGATCTTATACCCTATCAAAGTTTTGATATTTTACCTATTCATAAAATTGAGTTTCTTTATCTGTGCCTTCTTTTTAGAGGACCCCTTTCTATATTCTTTGTTTGGTTGTCTAGGAACATTTTGCAACCAGATCTATGTTTTTATTGTATTGTATGTTTTATTGTACAAAATCAGAGCAGTTGCTTCGGAGAATTAATTAGACCTTTTTTTAAAATTAGCTTCATTTTTTCCCTATTTTATGATAAAAAGAAATGTTAAGTATTTTTAAAGGACATGTTTATGGAAAAAGAAGATATTTGGAAAAGCTAATCTTTAGGGCAGTGGTAAAGGCCAAGCTGAACATTCACTGGTGATGTTGCTACACAGGAAGCATGAGCAACAGACATACAAACCAAAGTTCACGGTAATAATGGCCACATCTAGACACATTTTTAGAGCAAATAGTATATCAGATTGCCAACAGATAAATTTTGTTGTAAAATTCAGTCATATTCCATAGTGCTTTTTGCCTTGGAATTTTATAGAGATATTTAAAAGTAAATGGTTGTAAGTATCAGCTCAAGTTCAAAGAGAAGTTGTACCTTTCTGAGATAGTCTCGACATTAAGTCTGATTTTTAAAACCTGAGCATAAGATCCTACCATCCATCCACCGCCACTCTTTTATTTGGAACGTAACATATTTGTTATCTGGGGACTGCCTGAGTGTACCTTCAAGTTTTTAACTTTTAAAGTATTTCTAAGAAAATATTTTTAGAGAATATTAAATTTTCAAATGGAAACAGGACGTCTTGTGATATAATGAAAAGATAAGTGAAGATCAGTGATTTGGAAAAAAACGCTTTCCAAAAGTGACCCTGCTGTGTGACTTTGGGCACACCTGGCCAGTTTGGGAAGAGGGAGCAAGGTCTCTCTTCCAGCTGGGAACGGTAGGCTTTTGTGTCCGGCTACCAGTTATTTCTTATTGTAACAGTGCCCTCTTGTGGTCATATCCGTAACCAATTCTTTTGCAAAGTAAACTGCATTCATTTTTTTCAGTTCTTTCTAATAGCTGTACTTCATATTATGATGCCACTATGACTTGTTTTTCAAAGATAAATCATAATTGGAAATCAACAGCTAATTAGAACAGGATACAGAGCCCCAAACCCCATCTTACAAACAGTTCTTTTTGGTTTCTTCAGAAACTGAACACAGCCAACTTGTCACTTACCTACATGGAAATACCTTGTGTGCACTGAGTGTTTTGTATCTTCCTCTTCCTCCTAGGGACCAGGGGAAGAGGTGGGCCAGAGCTTCCTCATGCCCCAGCGTTTCGGACCTGAGCAGGCTGGAGACCAAAGCGGGTGAGATGCTTATGTTCCTAGTGGTCCTCAGCACACCTTCATCCACAGCTACTCTCTTGGGAAGTTTGCCCTGAAGATGTGTGGTGTTGGCTCACTGTGTGGAAACTCTAGGAACTGTGTCCAACTTGGTCAGAAATCAGTGTTTAATTTTATGAGTTTTTATTATTTTTACAAAGTATCTTACCATTACCTAACTCTGGTGCCTCAAACATGATGGATTATAGTCTTAATGATTTTACAGAAACTATTTAGTCAAAGCATTTGGAAAATTGCAAAAAAGTTGGTATCATCATAGTTCTTGGGTTCAAAACTTGAGTGAAATCATTGCTTACTTAAACTATTAACCATGTTAAGACAGCCCTTTCAGGCTTTAAACTATTTAATTGAGAAAATTAGGCAATATAAATTATAGGCTAGAAATAATACAAAATGTATTAAAGGAGTGGAATATAGCAGTAAGAAAAGTTAAAAATGTACATTTATAATATCAAATGAAATTAATATAAACATAATTTTAAGAAGGAATGGATAAGAAAAAAGTGAAAATAGAAGAAAAAAATGGAAACAAAGCTTTTGTACATAGGAAGGGGAGGGGGTTGGGGGGGGAATGGGATAAAATAAAATAAAACTTATTTTTTTTAAACCCATAATTTTAGATATAAAATTAAGTTGCACAAACAATGACATAAATTATGGGTTATAGATCTATGTGGTAAGTACGCAAATCCAAGCATTGTTTCCAGTTGCTGCCCAATTTGGAAAACTGGTAACCTCCAGAGGGGGAAGAAGGAAGAGGATGGAAAGAGGGAGACACACAGAGAACCTTAACTGTGTCTGGAAAGTTGTATTTCTTCAAAATAAGGGGAAGAGAAGGGTAAAAGTATGGTACAGTGTTACTATCTGACCAAACTAGTGTGGGTACACAGGCGTTTGTTATAGTCTTCATATTTTTGTACACATGAAATTTTATGACACCAAACTAATATTTGGTTAAGAATTACCAGTAATGCATGTGCATGTTTATAGCAGCAGAATTCATAATAGCTGAATCTTGGAGGAAGCTTATATGTACATGAACAAATGAATGGATAAAGAAAATGGGCCATTTGCACACAATGGAATACTACTGTTCCTTAAAGAAACATAAACTTGAGTCATTTGTAGGAAAATGGATGCACCTTGAGGCCATAATCTTAAGTGAAGTAAATCAGACACAAAAGCTTAAATATCACTTGGTTTCACTTATTTGATAAATAAAAGCAAAATAAAAGCTAGCTATTAGAAAGTAGGGAGATAGAGCTTTCTCAAATGGGAAGGGGATCTAGGGATAGAGGAGGGAGTAGGGAGGGGAGGTACAGGGGATGAAACAAAGGAATTAAGATGTGTTAGGTACATATGACGACTCCCCACAAGGAATGTAAACATGATGTACTGCAAATGTATACTAATAAAAAAGGGGAAAAATAATTATCTTCAAAACTAGTTTCTTATCAATTAATGACTTTTGTGGCCACTGGAAATTGCTCTAGCACTTAGGAAAATCTTAGATATTCTAATTTCTAATTCTAATTTTTGTTGCTAAGGATCTTAACATTTACATGCTAAAAACATCAGCCAATCCTAACATTGTGTCAGGTTTTTGTGCTCAGAACTCAAAGCTGTGGTTAACAACTATAACCACTGAGACAGCAAAATCTTCAAAAACATGCTGAATTTTTTGCTTAACTTACCCAATTTCCTGTTGAATCATAATTTTTATATTTAGCAAACTATGAACCTAGATGAAAGGGCTTTCTAAAATATTAGGTTGTTCCATAAGACTGAGACAAACTCTATTGTTGTGTGTGTGTGCATGTGTGTGTGCATGTGTGCACGCATGTGTGTGTGCATGTGTGCACGCATGTGTGTGTCTTGAAAAGCAATCACACAGTTCCGTGCTTCAGTTTGGAGCATAACTCACAGATATGTACAGAGTGGAGGTGGAGGAGATGCGTGGGGTGAAGAATGAAAAGCCGTAGCCAGACACAACTACATACAAGGATTCCCAGCAGGGAGAGGGGACGGGAACCTTATATCAATGTCTGCCCAACTGCTATTCTGAGACAAAACGAGTCTGAGAAACATTCAGAAGGTTGTGGGAGGGTTAAATAAACTGTTCTGTGACTTCCAGCTCACTCCTATAATTCAGCTCTTCTTGGGATTAACATGTTTTTGATTCTGTTTGTCCTGAGAAACAAGTTAGTAATTATGGTTTCTCATAACACTACCTTATTCACATATTGCGTAGAAGGTAAAAATGGTGATCTGTACCCACTGGGCTTAAATCTGTATTTCTAATAAACTCAAGTCATCATAAGAGTGTATTGGTTAAATTAATGGTTATTGACCTATCATCTTCTGGCTTTTCACTTGCCTTGATTAATGTTGATTTTATTCATATACCTTGGACTTTCAGTAGTTTACAATGAAATGTGAGTGGCCATTTTTATATTGCTTGAATATTCACGTTTACTTTTAAAATTCATATGTATGACTTGTCAAAGTTAAGACAGACTCATGAAGATAATGAGTCAAAAATTGAGCTGATAGTCTACAGTCTTTTATCTGTAGTTCTGAAGTCCGCAAAACTCTAAAAGTTGAAATACTCTTCAGACTCTTTTAGTGGCAATACCTCATCTGAGCTGATGGGAAGCCAATTACTCTTTGTTAGGGTGGGCATTCATGTATTTTGCTACAGGGTGCTCTGCTGGAAGACCCTATTGGGTTATATGTAATATGCACTGTGCACACTACATTTCCTTTCTAAAATCTAGATATTTCTTTTTAAATTTCTTTAAAAATTTTTATTAGCATATGTTTGTAGTACATAATGATTACATTCATCATAGGAATTGGTGCATGTACATAACACATCTTATTTCTTTTTACTTCCCCTTCCCTTCCCTTCCCTGTCTCCTTTCCCCATTTACAAATATTTATCTCCCTGTTTCCTATTACCTATCTTTTATTTTGCTCTTTAAATTATTTATACTTTGAGTTTCTCATACAAGAGAAACCATGTGATATTTAAGCTAATATTTATCTCAATTAACATGGTCTCAGGGTGCATCAATTTTCCATAAATGACTCAAATTTATTCTTCTTTAGTAGTACTCCATTGTGTATAAGGACCACATTTTCTTTATTTATTCATCTGTTAATGGACATATAAGCTTCTTCCAAAATTTAGCTATTATGAATTCTGCTGCTATAAACATGGTATGCATGTATCGTATGAAATATGATGCCTGTAACACTTTTGGGGATATACCTAGAAGGAAAATAGCTGGGTTAAATTGAATTTCTATTTTTAGTTTTTTGAGGAATCTTCATACTGATTTCTATAGTGGTTTTACTAGTTTACATTCCCACGAACAACATAGAGGGGTTCTTTTTTCCTCCATAGCCTCACCAGCATTTATTATTTGGTTTCTTGATGATAGCCATTCTTTCTGGAGTAAGATGGAATCTCAGTTTTAATTTGCTTTTCTGTAATGGCCAGAGATGTTGAACATTTCTTCATGTATTTATTAGCCATTTGTCTACTCTATATTGAAGAGGGGTGCATTTAAGAAAAAATAACTGAAGTCTGTAACCCCAGCATTGGGAAAGCTGAGGCAGGAGGATTTTGAGTTCAAGGCCACCCTGGCCACTTAGTGAGCCTGAGCTACACAGTGACACTCTGTCTCACCAACAGAAAAAAAAAGAAGGAGGAAAGACTCAAAACTCAAAAGTTTGCCTTGCTGATAGTCATCAGCGTCCACAAAGCTTAACACTATGAATTGTCACAGTCATATTTTAGCATTCTGATTTTATATTATCTTACCTGAGTTTAATTTAGGGTAATTTGATTAGAAGACTGGTAGTTCTAATCAAAATTAATTGGGTTGGGTGCAAAGTGAAATTTAATTCTGTAGTTTATTAGTTTTAGTAATAAATAGGAAATGCTTTTGACTGTGCTCTATTACAATTCCTTTTTCATGACTCTTTCTCCTACTGTGGATTTATTTTGCAGTCTCAAAAGCCAATTTGCAAGAAAAGGATACAGAAATAGAAATAGACGAAGTCTTTTGGAATACAAGGATCGTACCAATTTTGCATGAATTAGAAAAGGGTAAAAAAATAATTCTTGTTTTAAATCAAAAATATCTGTGGTTATTTATATATTCCCTATTGCCCTGATATTTTTAGTATACTTTGACTGTCACTTCTGTGAACATGTTCCAAAATAAATGAAGTCATCTGTTTATTTACCCAGCAATGTTTGTATTAAACATTACATGTAAATAAAAAATTTAGTGAGTAAAATTGTACTTCAAATGCACCAAAAAGCTGACTTCTAAAATTCCTCTATAATACAAATTAATGATCACCTCCTCTACTCAAGAAAAGGTTTATTTAACCTCTCTAGGGAAACTGCTTATATAGAATTAGAAAAGATTTCAGGACTCTGAAATTGAATGAGAATGAGTCTCATGGATGGCATCCTACACAACTGTCCCATGTTTTTCTTGATCCAGCTGTGTAAGATCTCCTACTCTTCCAGGTTAAGCACATCTTTTGGGGACCACTAACACCATAGGATGTGGCCTGGGCCTAGCCTTTTCATTATGGAATAAAGGTCCACAATGCTTCATGGGTCCCTTCAAGGGTATTAGAAACCAGGTAGAGGATGTCTCCCCACTTTCTCCCTCTTTGTAGCCCCTCAAAGATTCCATTTCTGAAGGTGAACCAGGCTCCCCTGGAGCTGTGGTCATAGCCCCAGTGTCAAGCTTGTTGCCTAGCACCCAGTGCATAGCAGGCCCTGGGTTAGAATTGTTGGATGAATGCTCCTTGGAAGCACAAATCACATGGAATCCAAAGGAAGACAGTCCAGGAGAAGCAGGGTAAATCAGCCCTCCAGAAGCACACAGGGCATGCACAAGACCTCCCCTACATGTTCTAGCCACTCCCCTTCTTGGCTCCCTGTGGATGCCAGGCTGTGCTCCTACTAGCGGGGAAGCCTTGGATAGAACATCTGGTCTTAGTGCTGCTGCTCGCTAGCTATGTAGTGTGGAGAATTGTCTACAGTCTATGCTCAGTAGTGTCTATCTGTCAGGCAAGGGGTAGATGAGACCAGATCACCTCCAAAGTCCTCTGCAGCCCTAAATCCTAAGAATATGATCGTGATGCCGTTTCTCCTCCAGAGTCATTAATTTTCACCCTCTTATTAGCATGCCAGGTGCACCTTGGGCCCTGTTTTGGGGAGATGTGTGTACAAACTAGTAAGAATAGCAGTGAGACTGGGGAAGGGGTAAAAAATAAAATGCTTCAGGGCCAGGGATTTAGCTCAGTGGTTCTGCCACCTGTCTCACAAGTGCAAGGTCCCAAGTTCGATCCCTGGTACCAAAATAAAATAAAATAAAATAAAATACTTCAGTGGGGAGAGAGATCACTGAGGTCTGTCTTGGAGGAAGTTCTCAGACAGAAGGATTTAAGAGGATGCTGAGTGTGCTGCCCCACACACATCCCAACAGAGTGAACTGAGGACACCAGCTGAGGAGCCAGGGGGGTTGAGGTTCAAAGTGTGGATGTGTCTCCTTAGAAGGGCCATTCTACACTGAAATGTGGCATTGTTCTTCCTGGACAACTTTAAGAGCAGCAAATGGTGGTGAGGCTGGATTACTTAACCCCTTTGGATGCTTTTTAACTTCTTTTGACATAATTTCAGGTTTATAGAAAAGTTGCAAGTGTAGTTAAGAATTCCTATATACTTTTTACCCAGATTCCCCCAATATTAATATTTTATTGCATTTGTTTATGACTTTCTCCTTCCCTCTCTGTCCCTCTTTCTCTACCCCCTACACACACACACACACACACACACACACACACACACACACACATTATTTTTATATTCTTAGGACCTCTTGAGAACAAGTTACCAATGTGTTGCCCTGTATTTCTAAGTATTTTAGTGTGTTTTTATAAACAAGGGCACCTCTTACATAGGTAGAAATTACCATATAATAATTAATTGTCCCAGTAATTTTCTTTGTAGAAAAAGAAAATCCTGCACCACAGCCATTCGTCCCATCTCTTTCATGAGCTTGACATATTTGAGGAGTACAGGCCATTTATTGCATAGATCCATGAACCAGGGTTGACTCGTGTTTTCTCACAACGAGACAGGTTAGGCACCTGAGCCCGTACATTGCACAGGAGATTCTGTGTGCTTCTCAGTGCCTTGTGTCAGGAAGTCCATGATGCTGATTTGTTCCCTTGCTGGGGATGGGAACTTCAGGCACTTGGACCAGGTGGTGTCTGCTAGGGTTGTCTTCTGTAAAGTTGTTATTTTCCCTTTTTAACTACTAAGTATATTGTAGGGGAAAGTTACTGTGTATAACAATCATAACTAATTGGTATAGAGGGATTATTTGATCATTAGTTTAAAATTTGATCTGTGATTCTTGCTTTTTAATTTCTTTCTCTTTTTTTGGTACCGGGGATCGAACTTGGGACCTTGCACTTGCGAGGCAGGCAGCGGCACCACTGAGCTAAATCTCCGGCCCCTTTAATTTCTTTTTAAGCTTAAACTACTACTGTTGAGTAAAACCAAGCAAGCTGAAGGGTTTATAAGGGGAGAAGTGTTAGAAAAAGACCTTGGGGCCACCCACAGCCCATGAGTGGCCCATACCTGGACTTGGGGCTTATGAAGAAACAGCCAGTCACAGAAGAATAAAACAACACAATAAAAGTGTTTGATACAATAGAGTTCAGATTTTTTCCTTTATTTAAAGTTGGTCTAAGTAATTTCCCATCAATTCATTTATTTAAGTGCATAACCAAATGGCATTGAAGGTTACTTAGCTATTGAGGTTTAAATTTTTTTCTTAAATGTTATTGTTGAAAAGAGCTAAAAATGGCCTGAGTCATTTCCTTCTGCAGGCACACACTTCCTCTATGTGGGCTTCTAAGAGCACATTATGGTATTTATTTAAGATTGGTTTCCTACTTTTAAATTTTGTGATGGAATCTATCAGAGATAATATTTTTAATGTAATACCTTATACCTTGGATTCTTTCATTTCCCCTCATGTTCTCTTTTATGTGCTACTTTTGCTCCTGTATGCCTCTCATGATGGCTACCACTTTCAAAAATGACTTTCCTCAAAATCATAATTATAAAGTAAAATGTTCTATGTCTCTCTGTTTCCTAACTAAAATCTCCTTTTCATTTTTCTCTTTTCTGATAATAGTGGATTTGGTGACATTTTGAGCTTTTGTTCCATGAAAGCCTTCTTTTATCACATGACAGTCATTTTCACAGGAAAATATTGATATTGTTTTCATCAATAGATATATTAGAAAATGAATATGTGTGCAATTATGTTATAGATTGTGTGAATAATATTCTCACCATACTGTGTGCTATTGATTCAAAGATATGCTACTTACTTAGCATGAGATCTATTGAGGCACTGGGTACACAACCCAACACACACACGTAAATGTGAAAAATAAGCAGTGGTACAAGGTACTGTTTGTTGAGTGTGAAATAGTACAATTTTCTGGAGACACCAAAACATAGACTTAAAGAACCAAAATCAGCAGGGAAAGGATAAGAACATTCTAGGCCTGTAGAACTCTGTTAAGAAAGGTGGAAGGCAGAGATGCAAGCAGTGTGCAGGTCTAGTTGGAGGGCATTTGGAGTAAAGGAGACTAACTGAAATAGGTGGCAGTTCCATTCTTTAATATACTTGTTGAAAGATGGTGTATTCTAGATAAGCTAATTGACTAATTGATTAATAAATGAGTCAACATGAAAGGAGATGGATCACAGATGGAAAAAAAAATCAAGCAGATGGAAGAGATATAAGAAGGTAAAGCCAGGCATTGTGGTGCACACCTGTAATCTTAGCACTCGGGAGGCTGAGGCAGGAAGATCGCTGTGAGTTCAAGGCCAGCCTGAACTGCATAGCAAGACCCTGTGGCAAAAAATCAAAATAAAACAACAACAACACAATGGCAAAAATATGGTTCAGGAATTTGAAAATGTCTATGGAAATAACTATAGGGTTTTCACCAGCAGTCTATACTTGACAACTTGAAAACTTAATCTTAATTAGTAAATGTTACTTTACTCTCTTTGCTCTGACAGAAGAAAACATTGAAACGGTTTGTGCCACTTGCACAGAACTTCAACATGCTTTAGAGGAAGGAAACATGCTTGGAAATAAATTTAAGAGAAGAAGTATTCTCCTGAAGACACTCTATAAACTAGTTGACGTTGGTTCAGACTTGCTCAGCCTTAAACTTGCAAAAATTATCCTAGCAGTAAGTTTTTCTTTCCTTTGGTCTAGTAGACTGTAGCACATAGAAGCTTTGTTTGTTAAATGCTTTATTTGTAAATATTACAAAGAAGATTAGAAATGCAGTGCCTGTGTTTAGAATCTTGAAAAACTTCAGGTAAACAAACTGGCATCCAAGAATTTGACTAAAAAGTATTGTGTAAGGAACTAAGGCTGAGTACATGGAAACTGTTCAAATAAATTCTTACATTTGGATTGTGACTAGATTTTAAAGAAAAGAAAGAAAAAAGAAAAAGTAAGAAAGGGAAGAAGTAAGTGACAATGTCAAATATATTCAAAGCAAGCAACATGACCAGGGTCCTTGTTGGGCAGTGCAGGCCATGGTCTCTGTCCTCCTGTTTTTCCTGGGTACTTGATTCTGCCTTATGATTTAGAATATAACTTTAATTTGGATCACAGATATAAGAGCCAAGTGCTTTATGAACCAGCGTACAAGAGGAAAACGACTGCATGTGACCACAGGAAGGTCCCTCAGTGGTCACAGAAGGTCTCTCTTGTTAAATGTTAGAAGAAAAGTCTAGACACCAACTAGTCTGTAAAAACTTTATCTAGAACAAAATGATGCCATTGTTTGAGGAGAGCGCTTTGTTGTTAAGCTATAAACAGTTGGAACCAAAAGATAAGCTACAATTATTATAGAATGTTTTAAGAGAGCCGCAAAAACAAATGAATGAAGCTTTGTTTCCTGGTTTCATAAGAGTAAGAGCCTTATGTGAACGCCCCATAATTCACATTATGTAAAATCATAAAGTACACAGTGCAGGTGAGTCTTGGTGTACTTACTGAGAGTGTCCACTGTGTCTTAGATAATGAAGTCTTTTATAAAGCAGAATATTCTGACTGCATGTTCTACATAATTCTGAGAAAGCTACATTCTTACTTAGTTGTCATCCTAAACTAGAAATCATGACATGTGACTCAGAGCATAAAGTCCTTGGGATAGTGATTTAACCTTAGGGCTCTGTTGGTGTAGCTGCCCTGGGCAGGACCCAGGCTGCCAAAACCCAAGGATCCCTTTCACACTTTTCATTTGGATCCTGAACACATTGTTCCACATCAAGCCAAGAAAGAAATGAGCAAGTCACAAATTCTATAATGCTTTGCAGAGAAAATTTTACTTTGTTTATTAATGGTGTCACTCTATATACAGTGGACCAAGTGGGCCTGATGTATGAACAACTTGGGTTAATTGGACTAGTGGAAGATTCATCGGCCTCTTGTTAATCTATAGCATGTACCCAGGTAAACATCCAGATCTCAGCTGTACTAACTTAGTTACAACCAGCCCCCAGGAACCCATTGAGTTCGTAAGTCAAGGGTCCACTGTATGTGGCACAATTTAACTAATTTAGAGCCAAAACAAAACAAAACAAAACAAATAACAAAACTAAGTGATCTTCCAGGCAGTGAACAAATTCTAAACTGGGTGTGTGATTAAACAAAGCCCTCTCAGTGACATTGAGTGCCTTGCTGAATGAAGATAAGACTGTGGGTTAAACCAGAGCACAGGGTTAGGTAGCTTATGCCTTCTGGTTAACTACAGGACCATGAGGTCAGAAGGGGCCATTACGTCCAAATTCCTGTCTACCACTTGACCTGACTGTGTCATTGCAGGCAAGATCCTATGCAGGCTAGGCCTCTGTGAGGGTTTCCATGTGCAGTTTTTGAAAAGCCATATCAGAAGAATTGATGAAGGAGAATCACCAAAGACTAAAGATATATGGAACTAAGAAGCTTTTCACCTCTGCCAATATTTATTCTACCTACCTATTTAATATTATAATTCAGATATGTGAATTATTTCTAGTTAAGCACATTCAGAGAACATAATGTTAGTTGTTCTGATTTCTTGCATTCTTTGGGTAAATGGAAATTTGCCAGACATTCATTTTAATTTTAATCTTTTTATTTAAAAATCTTACAAAAATACATCAGCCTATATTAAGATTATTTTAAAGAGTACAAACATATGCATAGTATGGATGGAACTGTATTCCACAGCGGGGGGGAAATCTAGCACCCCATGCATTAGTATTGGGGATTGAATCCAGACCTTCTCACGGAGCTACAGTCTCAGCCCTTTTTGTTTGTTTGTTTGTTTTATTTTTTTAAGACAGATTCTCACAGTCACTAAAATAGCTCAGGCTGGGCTCAAATCTGCAATACTCTTGACTCAGCCTCCCAGAGTGCTGGGATTATAGGTGTACTACCATGCTTGGCTATTAGGAGTGATTTTTAAACTTTGCTTATTTTTCTTTAATTTGCCAAATTTGCTTTGAATGGAATAAAGTCCTATTTTCAGTATAAGAAGAAAAAACTATCCTATATGAAAACTTACTTTGTCAAGAGTTCTTCCTTAATACTGGGAATACAAGTGAATAAAATGCTCCTGTCCTCTAAGGCTGGCAGTGGAATAGGGGAGCCAGCAGCCAAAGGGCACAGTGAGCAGTATAGGGAGAAAAAGCTGGACAGAGGTAGTGGAGGGAGTGGGAAAGTGCTCATCTTTATGAAGTAGTCTGCAATTCTTGCATATAATGCCATATTTTATTATCTTTTCATACTTTTTTTTTTGAGACAGGGTCTTGCTATGTAGTTCAGGCTGGCCTCAAACTCACTATGTAGCCCAGGCTGGCCTTGAACTCCTGATGATGCTCCTGCCTCAGCTTCCCAAATGCTGGGATTACAGGCATTCACCACCATGCCCAGCTCTTTTCATGTCTTAAAGTTATAACTTTGTAGTTCTCAATGGAGAAGTGATAGGAATTTGCTTTGAATATAAACTGGTTTAGGTTATAGCAGTCCTGGAAGTTGTGGGAGGTCTGTATTCTCTCTCTCTCTCTCTCTCATTGCTGTCATTATTTTGATAAAACCCTTAAAACAAATTTTTTTCCCTTTGTCATTTTTCACTAAATGTGAGATGTGGTGGAGGAGGCATAAGTTGTAGTCAACAAGCTTTGTTAGGTGTAGAACACGTGCCACATAACACACATAGAAAGAGAAGCATCATGGTTATGACCGCAGGCACTCACAATCTAGTGGGAGATAGTCAGCTGATTCAGATATATTTCCAAATCCTAAGAACAAAATACACTGTGTTTCTATGAAACAGAAACCGCCACCTCCCCTCCCCACCCTTCCATACTGGGGATCAAACCAGGGCCTTCACACTGAGCTACATCCCCAACATTTTTTTTTTTTTTTTTTTGAGACAAGTTCTCCCTAAGTCGCTGAATTCCCAGTCTGCCCTGGAATTTGTGATCCTCCTTACTCCCAGAGTGCTGAGATTACAGGCATGTGCCACAACCTCCCCCCACCCCCAGTCATCTTGTTTTCTGGGTTTTTGAATGGTATTGCCATTTACTCAACAGCCCTGCTCCCAGTGCTGGAGATTGAACCCCGGGGGCTTAAGAAGGCTAGGCAGCTCTCCAGCCCTAACCTTTTTTGTGCCTGAGGGCAGAAAAATTCTCCCCTCTGGCCTGTCTTAGTTTCTGAGGCTTCAAAGAAAAACGGTGGCTCTCAGACTTTTAATATTCATGTGAACCCAGTAGGGAGCTTGTTAAAATGCAGATTCTGACTCCATAAGGCTGCGCCTGAGACTCTGCATTCCCAACACACTCAGGTGAGGGGGGCGGGGGGGGGCAGGTGCCGGAGCTCCTGGGCCACATTCCCCACCTCTGCCCTCCAGCCTGGGACTGAGCCACCCAGAGCTTATGCTCGGAAAGCATTTGTGGATCAGACAGAAGGAACCTTTAACAACAACAACAAAAAAAGAATGAACCTTTAACAAATATGTTAACAAATTCCATTATCTTTTACAAAAATCTAAAGAAACTCACTAGTAAACAATATTAAAGATAGTTTTGATACTAAAATAATGACCCATATGTTATCCTTTCACACAGAAATATTTATTTGTCCTGATGACTCATTCTGGTGAGCCTATTTTTACACTGTGGCAATGAAGGCACTAGATGTTCCCATCTAACTGGAGGGTTTTCTTTCTAGACATAGTGTTCAGTTATAATCTTTGTGACTGCTTCATATGAATAGTACTATGCTCCACGGTTTATCAAACTAGTCTCTATTATTAGACATTTAGATTTTTTTTTACTACTTTTGTTAAAGTGGTAAATACACAGCTACTTTAGACCATTTGATTCAGCTAGACATCCTATACTATGCTTTTCTTAAAAAGAAAATATACTTTCTTACTGCCCCCTATTTCATTTACTTAGATGTTTTTGTATGATTTAGAAGGTAATTTTCAATTTCAAGCATTAATGATTATCTCAAAGCACTCCAGAAAGAGCCTTAAAATAAATATATATGTATGGTCTAATCAGACAGCGTTAATTTTTAATATTTTTACACAAGGTGACAGGACGTACTTTTTTATTTTCCTTTTTTCCTTCACTATAGATTCTTTTTGAAATTATTTTACCCTGACATTGTGGTATCTATCTTTATTTTTGTGTTTAAAGGCAATTACCCCATTTGATTAAACGTATTAAAATTGTCTTACCTCCCTTTTCTTCCTCATACTCCTTAAAAATAACTAATAACTCACATGTAAATATAAAACATTACAAAGTAAGAAGTAAATGCTTATTATTAAAATGTTCTTACTCTGAAGATCATTTATATTGTATTTAATATAATTGAGATAGATACCGTAGTAAATATGTGGTTTCTGTAGAAACCACATATTTAAACTTTTCAAAGCTGGTTTCTGTAAAACTAATTATGTTTACAAATACTCTTGCTGCATTTTTAATATAGATATTTGTGTTTTTAAAAATATGGCATGTCTTTATTTCCCTCTGCATTAGAAATAGAAGTGTTTTCTTTCCCTGCAGCTTAAAGTGAGTAGAAAGAATCTTCTTAATGTCTGCAAACTTATATTTAAAATTAGCAGGAGTGAGAAGAATGATTCTCTGATTCAAAATGAAAACATTCTGGGTAAGTATCATTTAGTGCCACCACTAAGCAAATGTTACACTTGAGTACAAATGAAAAGTTTGGAGAGAAATTTATAATTAATAATAGCAGGAATATTTTATTTTCTAGTAAAAGCAGAAGTTATGAGATGTGATTGAAACATGATGAATGTTTAAAAATTTTTAAATGTACTATAGAAGACAGGTTGCTATCAATCCCCCTCAAAACCCTCTCCCTCACTTCAAAACTGATCCCCTTGTTCTTGCCACCTTGTGGAGCAGCTCCAGTAAGCATCTTTGGATTCACTGTTGCAGTTGCCTATGAATTCATTCAGAATGTTCGACTTTCATGGTCATTTTGACTTTGGAGAAGTGCTAAAGTTGCATGATGTTGCCAGAGCTGGTGAATAAGGTGACAAGGACATACCATAGGGTTTTTACAACCTCAGTTTCAGGACATGTGGCAGTAGCATTCACTATATTTTTATCACACTATGTAAACACACTTATAAGGGAGGACTTCTAGGGCCAGGGATTTAGCTCAGTTGTTTTGTCACCTGCTGTGCAAGCGCAAGGACCTGAGTTCGATCCCCGGTTCAAAAAAAAAAAAAAAAAGAGAGGACTTCTAACAGTGACAAGAATGTTAGGATAAGTGTGTTTGAAGCAAGGAGTTGAGAGGGCTTAATGGCGATGTTTGTTATACTGTAATACATTTTTAAAATTTAGACATTCACTTTATATTTTTATTCCCCATGTATGCGATGCTTATTTTTCATATGCTTCTCTGTATTTTCCCATTACGTTTAATGGATCATTTGGAGCCTGTATGACAGATGGGGCTTTGTTTTGTTTTCTTAATATTATATTATTAATATTACATGACTTTTCAAGGTGCATTTATAAAAAATCATTTTCTAGTCATGAATTTACTATTAGAAAAAAACACCTAGTAGTTTATTTTATAATTAAAATATTAGTCTTTTGATATAGTAAGAATGACTAAAAATTAAAAGACACCTGTACTGTTACAGAAATCTGACATCAAAATTTCACATGTATAGGTAAAGAAGTTTTATTACCTTTTAATCACCTAGCTATTAATACCTAATTCTTGATGTATTTCTAAACAATTTTTTGTTTGTTTGAGAGAAGGTCTCACTATTTAGTTCAAGCTGGTCCTGAACTCACTGTGTAGCCTAAGTTGGCCTTGAACTTGCAGCCATTCTTCTGCCTCAGCCTCCTGAGTGCCAGGATTATACATGTGTGCCACCACATCCAGTTTAAGTACCTAAGATGCTTACTCACCTAAATGGAAATATTTCATTAATTTATGTTACTGATACAGGGGAGACACTCTCAGTCTTCTTATGGTAACATAGGGTAAATGATCTAAATTATCTCAATACTTTTTTTCTAACCCCAGCAGACAGGGTCAAAACCAATGCTGAAAGAAATGTCTAACACTAAATCAACTAATTAAGAATCGTACAAAGAAAGAATCTGACAAATGATCACATTAACATTAATAAACTTAAATATAAGTTTTGCATTATTACCCTTTTAGAGTTGCTTGGTTTACTTCTAAAACTAGTAGTTGGATAAATATTCTTAAGTTATCTTGGGAAAGATTGGATATTATACCCAAATTGGCCCTTTTATGTGGTGATTGAGATTTTTAAAACTCCCAATTTGATTTATATTTCATTAATACATCATCAACTATAGAAATATATTCTTAAAGGTTTGTTGAAATTTAACTCTTCAATTGCTTTAATTATTAGTATTCTATATTAACTTGAACTTTTATAAGTAAAAATGAAGGCTGGTAAATATGAGCACGAGGCAAGAAATGGCATTCAGTTAAAAGAACACTTTCTCACTTGTATATTAATAACCCCCATCCTGTTGTCATTACTGCTGCAGAGATTTGTCATAGCTAAAAGTAGGCTTTGCTTATTTGAGTAACTTGTAACAAGCATTAGAGTGTAGCTTTGTACAAACATATTTTATAAATTGTATTTGACCTTCACATACAAGTGCTTTAACATATTTCTGCTATACTCAGACATTTATAATAATTCATCTTTTGGCAGAATCATTACTGGGGGTTCTGAGAAGTGAAGACCTGCAGACTAACACCGAAGCTTTTTTATACTGTGTGGGGACTATCAAATTCATATCTGGAAATCCAAGATTTCTTGATGAAATGATCATCAAAGGTACTCTGGGAATATTGGCACATTTGATAAAGCAAATGAATGAGAACATCAAGACATGTGGTACATGTTTGCCTAATTCAGGCCACTTGTTAGTCCAGGTAAGTATTTTACTTGAAATGCTAGGTGTACAAAATTAATTTTCATGTTATCTAATAGCAGTTACTATTTAAGAGACTAGCAGAGGAGAGCCAGGCATGGTGGCTTTCATGTTCTTTTTTAGATGAGATTTTACTCTTAATAGCATTTGTATATCAAATAATGGCATCTTTCATTGTAATCATTCATGTGATTTGAAATGTGCTTGTCAGCTAATGAGGATTGATGGAGCACTCAGAGTGCTCTAAGCCTTTGGGAAAGCCTGTTAAAAATTAGATTTACGCATTGGCCTCAAGATCCTTAAAATATTTATGATAATTATTAATTTAGGACTTTGGACTTTCTTCATTTTGAAGACAAATGTGAAAATCTCTTTTGGTCATAAATGTTGCAAAATTCTATTGGTATGCTATGCTTTGGCTAGGAAGACTTAAGAAATATTATTTTCATATTCCTAGTGATTCAGATTTTTTTCCTCAATGAAAACAGTTATTTCTGATTATATAATGATTATAATTGCTGCTAAAATATAGGAAAGTATAAGAAAAAATAGAAAAATCATCTGAAATATTTTTACCCTGAGATGTAATAACATATCTTTGACATTTTGGTAAATACCTATAACATGTATTTAAATTTTACATAACTCTCTTTTGTGGAACCTGTTAATTTTAAAAGCTTTCTTTTTTTTGTACCAGGGACTGAACTCAGGACCTTGCACTTGTGAGCCAGGCTTGATGCCACTGAGCTAAAGCCCCGGCCCTAAAAGCTGTTTATGATCCTCTTCCCTCCTTTCCCTTTCTCCTTCGGTCCAAAGTTCACTAACATTATTTAATGTTCTCAATACCTTTTAATACACATATAAGTTTTTAACTATGGTATATTCTGTGTATTTCTCTTCTCTCACCTAACAATATATAGTACAAGTATCTTGTGTCAACTCTATAAACTTACTCTTTTTAATGACTGCACAATATTACCCCATATTGAGATATTTATGCCATTTAAAATTTCTGTGCAACAGCTTGTGGATTTATTGTCTAGTTGAAAACAGTCTTTCCAACCTATTTTATATATGTAATATTTTATAAAATCAATTGGTATAAAGCAGAATTGAGTGTTATTGTGGCCAAAAATATGTCAGATCAAGAAATGGGGCGTCTGGTATGCCAGTAAGTTCAGGGCGTTCCTCCCTTCTGTCCTCTTTCTGTTTTCCCCAGACTCAGCATCCTCTGATGCCAACTGGGTCAGATCCTCATCTTCTTCCCTCTAGGGGGCACTGTAGAACTTCCGCCTCCCTGTTCACTGCCTTCCAAAGACACGCAGCTCATTGTCTCCAAAGCCTTTGAACCGCCTTGGATCTGGCATGGGTGGGGCCTCTGCCTGGGCCACAGTCAGCGCCCCACACCCTTGTCCAGCAAGAAAATGTGGAGCCTGTTGTTGATACCACCCGAGAACATGCTCCTTCTGTTGTTACCCAGTGTCATTTGTGTCAACTGTGTGTGTTTACAGATTTGGGGAGGAAGGAAGCATTGTTTTAGGGTTGTCATTCACAGAATCCCTAGACTGGACATTCCCTTATACTTAATTCAAACAAAGAAAAGCTGTTTTGTATCATATATGTGATAAGATACGCACGTGACTTCACTGTGAGAGTGGATGAAAACCTCCACTCTTGTGAATGTGTAACATTGCCTGGCTCTTTACCAGCCACCTCAGGCCCATATTCAGCCAGACAGATCTGGCCAGGAGCAGAACTGTTTGTCTATACCACCTTCCGGAACCTGGCAACTCCAGCTCATGAGACATTTTTCAAAGTAACTCTGTTCAACTGAAAAATAAATAAAGCACTTGAGGTTGTAATAATAATAAAATAATGCCTGTAAGCCAGAGAGAATGAGAACATGACCAAGACAAAAAAAGGTAAAGTAGCAACATTAGCCAGCCTTTACAACTTGCAACCCAGAGAACATCAGTAGCTTTAGCACTTTGCGGGAAACTCTTGTTACCAAACTCTGCACATCTTAGTGTCTGACACAGGGCTAGAGTCCTCCTGTTTCCCTACAGCTGTCCTTTAGGAGCCCAGCGAATGGGTGGAAAGTGTCGGCTATAGCTGGATCCAGAGTGTTACGTAGGATTTGGGAAAGTGGATGCTGAATACTCACGTTGGAAATAAATAAGGTGTGTTTGGGAGGTGCTGAAGAGGTTGGGGTCTCTGTGGAGGAGTTGTGGGAGGCGAGATTCAGAGGGTACAGTCATGTGTCTCAAATGCCAGGCCATGGGAAATGGCCTGGGGCAGCAAGAGCAGTGGGCGGGCTGAGTGAGAGGAAGACAAGATGAGGTCAGAGTGGCAGAAAGACAAATGCATCCAAGAAGATATTAAACTGATAAACACCACAGTGCTGGGAAGTGACAGGAGGAGAATGTGTCCATGGAACATGACAAGTGCCAGGGTAGGATCTCTGATGGCGAAGGCCCAGTTAAGAGGCACGGCCACACTTAGATGTTGGGCTGATTGTAATGAAGATGAAGAAATGGTGTGAAGGTAAAGTCCTTCATACCAGATGGGCTGATGTTACTTAGAGGAAAATATACTGATCCATGGGTTGGTGCTATTTCTTATGTGTGATTGTGGGTATATCTGTGCATGCATATATGTTTATCACCATGTGGCTGCAACCAAGAGCCATTTTACAAGTGTTTGTGGAGTGCTTGTTCCAGGCCAGACATGTCCTGGTGGTGAGTGAGACAGTGGTCGGGGAGACAGCTGCCAGTAAGGTCCAGCTTCCTGATGATCCCCACACCAGGTAATAGTATTCCAGTGCCCATTCTTCTCCAAAGCTGTGGTTCCTCGTGGTCGGTGTCGCACTCACTTCTACATTATAGCACTTTGAGAAGAGGTGATCCAAGGAACCAAGGAGCTGCTGCCTGTGCACCAAGGCAAAGTGTTTGTATCTCAGGCTGCCAAAGCTGGAGAAGTGAGTTTATCTATAAAATTGTAAGAGTAAGCAGGGGAAATTATTCATGTTCACCAAATTCAAGAATACTAGAACTTAGGGAGAACTGCCTGAACCTTCAAAAAAGAGAAAGACAGGGCAGCTAACAGACAAGACCCCTAAAGGTCAGTAGTATATTGCATCACCCCAGGAGGTGACACCAACAGAAACAAGGATCTGTCAATGTTGGTCTGGAATGGATTATCAGGAGGTGTTCCGCATCCTCTGACCTTTGAACAACAACCAACAGTCAGGAAGGCGTAACACAGGAGTTGAGGGAAATTCCTGGAGTCTTCTCCCTCAGCAAGCCTGACTTCCATTGTGCCCCTCCTGGGAATTGGAGAAGAGCCTTCCCTCTGCCTCAGAATCTAAAATAAACTGGAATTCCCAGGTGTCACATTTGAGACTATTCACATACAAAGCAGCTTTGCTGGAACTAAAGAAAATCTCTGTGTACTTACATTTCCAGCCAGGCAATTTATAGTTATACAGTGTAACAGTTGAAACCAAATTAACTTTAATTTGCATTCCTATTTTTTCATTCATTTGTATTTCCAACTTTTTTTTCTTTATAGTCATTTGTTTGATTTTGTGGAGTTTTTATTGTTTCAGGGCTGGGTATAGAACACAGGACCTTGTACAAGCTAAGCAAACACTCTACCATTGAGCTACTCAGCCAAGTCATTTGATTTTGAATTAAGTCCTTAAAGAAAGGTGTACTAGCCCTGCTTTAGTTAGACCTGTCCCATAGCACCCCCAGGGAGCATGGTTGGCTTAGTCACCCCTCTTTTTCCTGTCCCCTTCTACATCTCTAACTTTTAAGCCTACGAGCATCTGCCAGCAACCCCTCAAATCCAAATCCTTGCCCTTCCTCACTCAGTACCCTACAGTGTCACATTCTTCCTTTTCCTAAGTGAAAGTCTTCAGAAAGCTTGGTCCTCCCTTCTTATCAGTTCCAGTTTTGTTCCTTCACTTTGTTTTCAGAGTTTAGGGAAAATAACATTGTTGGAGATTTGACAGAAAAGAATTTAAGCATTTCTTTTGAAGGTTTTGCTTGAATAGGAAGGAGATGAGATTACTTATTTTGATTGAGGTATGATTTACATATGGTGAAATACTTAGGTCTTGTGTGTTCAAAGAGTTTGACAAAAATAGATAGCCTTGAGACCCACACCTTTATCAAGATACAGAAGATTTTTCTCACCTCAGAAATTTTCTCCCACCCCTTCCCAGCAATCACCTCTCTACTGCCCACTCTACCTGGGAGCCGTTTTTCCAATCTCTCACCCTAGATAAGCTCTCTCTGTTCTAAAATTAATCTAAATGGAATATACAGTGTGAACTTTTTGTGCGTCTGCCATTTCTTAAACTTTTATTTTGAACTATGTATAAATGCACATAATGTTGCAAAAATAGTACACAGAGGTCCCCTGTACCCATCACGCAGTTTCTCTCCATGGCGACCTCTTACATAACTATGAAACATTATCAAAACCAGGAAATTGATATGGATACACTACATAAACCATGTAAATTGATATGGATACACTACATAAACTATGCCTGGCTTATTTTGTTTGGCATATTGTTCCTTAGATTAGACAAAACTCTTTTGATCACAGTCTGTGGTACTAATCACTATAAAGCTTGCTAACTTTTTAATGATGTAAAATTTTTAATGATGTATTTGTTAGTAGGAAGGGGACAGCTGTTTCCCATTCATGAATTTTATTTCCTAGAAAAAAATACCATACCCAGCTGTGTAACTGACCACTCACTCACTGGATTCAGGGTTCTGGTGCCCCCTCTTCCTTCTCCTCCCTTTCTTGGGAAGGAGCTGCCCATAGGCAACTCAGATTGGCTTCTGATTCTCCATGAACAGTGAATCTGAAGACCTGGGAGACTCAGGCCCTAAACATGCAATAGCTTGGGTTTTGAACTGAAAATAAAGAGATTAAGGAGGATGGGTGGAAGAGGAGCTATCATCCTGTTGGAGGATTGTAGCT